TCTGATGCGAGAGTTAGCATAGGTCGCCAGGTTATGCTATTTAACACACCACCACTAGCGATTCGGCGAGCTACTACAAGTGCCCATAACTCTGGTGGGGGGCTTCGTCATTCATTGTGTAGAATGTCGAATCGTCAATCTGTTCCGCCAGCTCAATCCCCCTACGGTCATTTGACAAACAGGAATGCCCAAAATCGTGGTGCGCATTAAAGTCGCCTAGCACCAAACGGTTTTCACCACGAAGTAACGCACCTATATTCGGGTGATATCGTGTACGGCAACATGTAACTGGGGGGATGTATATATTAAATATTTCGAGCTCGACATCGCCTGACCGGACAGCTATGCCCTGACATTCTAGGGTAGTATCCCTTCGATCGATGTCTTCATCGATTAGACGATACTGCACGGTGTTGTGCAATATGAAGGCTAGGCCACCACCATTATCTCGCTCGCGATCTTTACGTATAACGTTGAAACCTGCACAACTCAAGATCTGAGCGGATGTTTAGTTTGGTTTCTTGGACCGCAGCTATCGATACGCGCTCCCGATTCATAAGTGCAACTATCTCCTCGATCTTGCTCTGGAGTCCGTTGCAGTTGAATTGAAGTAGCCGGGTTTGTCGCGGGTGTCCGTGGGTGATCCTGGTGGTGAGGGAGGAACGTGTGGGTGGTATTTGTTACAGCTGCAAAACCAGCCGGGGCGGTTGGTGCACTAGGGTGTTTGTTGGCGACGCCACTGTTGTGTGTTGCGGGGGCAGACTCCTGCAGCATGGGGCAACGTACGACTCACTCCACTCACGTGTGGTGCGCAGGCCGGAGTATGGTGGAGGATCAATCATTGTGTGAGGATGTTTTATCTGAAGTGGTGTTGGTCCACTCCATAAGATTGATAGAATTTTAAGCAAGGAGAAATACGTCGACATGGACTGAGGAAAATTTGCATGTTATAAGGAAGATAACAATTCAAAGCATACGTCTAAGTTCACACAAACGTTTTTTAATGAAAATTCTATCAATGTTTTGAAGTGGGAATCGTCCAGCCCAGACTTAAACCCTATAGCACATCTCTTGGGCGACCAAAAATATTCCAAATATGGATGTTCTTGTTGATGAAATTAGGACAACATGGCAAGAAACACTAGCGGTGCGCTATCATAATTTTTTGCTGATAAAACATTTTCGTTTCTAGTTAGTTGTCCCACTATATGTTTTTGTTTAAAATTTCATAATGAAGGAGAATTTTAAGCAAAGTGTTTACTATACAAGTTTAAGTTTAACATAAGTTTCAATAAAATGAGTGAAAACACATAAATGGTACGAGATTTTTTTGGGAAATAACATCATTTACTTGTAAATAAGTGGCGTTTCTAATTAGTTGTCAACAGCTGTATATATTTAGAGTAAGTAGTTCCACTTCACTTGCTCTGGAATACAATCTTCAATTATAATTTGTCGCTACTCAATTTTGTGACTACATATTTATGTATGTTTGAATTTACTTAAATCAATTGTTATTTCTACAATAAATTCTTTTTTCTCACTACAATCGCTCTGTCATAATGACCCAGATTCAAAAGTAACGTGCTAAGTAATTATGCTTATTTGCTCAAACATTTAGCGTATAATAATCCAATAGCAAAATTAAAATTCTTCTGGGAATTGAGTCAACAACAATCTGCTAGGAGTTCTAGTATACTTTAACTTTAAGTGATTTAAGACTACTTTTAAATTTCACTGCGATGAAAGCTGAAAGAAACTGCTGTTGTAACCAACTGAAGAAACAAACAAGTTAGAATCAATAATCTTCTGAAAACATATATATGTACATACATATGTGATTGAAAGCAAAAAAAAACATTCACTTCATTTGCATCGAAACTTTACAAATATAAAAATTAACGTGGTTAAATGGCTAAATCGACTCAACTTGTCATACTGATCATATACAAATTGGATTGCAACTTAATATCCCTGTCCAGGGTATACATATAATAATATTGATAGTAATTTATTTCTCAAATGAAATTACCATTACCAGAAAACTTTTAACTCTCTAAAGATGTTACAATCGAAACTTAAAACCAATTTCTGTGTTAGCTAATTGGATTCTCGGAGAACAAGTAATTATCTGAAAGCAAATGTAATTTACAATTATTTTCTCAAAAAATAAACATTTGGGTAAACCACAAGAAAAGATAAGGCATCAATCACTATGAAAATGAGTTCAATGCAAATGTATATGGATACTCCATTAAAAAAGTACGAACTTTTCCTATTCCATTTCTATTTGATTATACCAATATACAATATATAATTTTCTTAGTTCGAAAATAGTTACTACTTCTTTTAGCGCTCTCACGAAAATCGGGTAAAAAATGTCTATCATTACCATTTTTGAAAATGCCTCTACTTACAATTATTGTTAGAGTTGATAAGCCATCACGTTCAATATAAATAGTAGTTGCACAACCATTCGCTATCGCTATCTGAAAAAAATAAAAATATAACTATTTATGTCTTTAAATACTTGTAAAATTAAAAATAGCAATGTAGTACATTAAAAACCAGATAATAATAAAAAATATATAATAATATTTACTAGCAATGCAAACATACCTCCATGGTATGCGCGTATAATTGTTAAGACGCTTTACTTAAGAAAACATTTTTTCAAAATTATTATTCTTAAATAAATACATAACTACACACATTCTCAAAAATGTTGTGTCTAGATTTCTAGTCGATGCAACAAAATTTACATCAGATTTTAACCTTTACCGCGTTTTCCATCACTCACGTTTTCGAAGCTCCTCTTATAACTTCCAATTTACTGCACCGATTTAGTATATAATTTGATAAATTTATATTTTTGATTTTAGATGATCCAGGATTGATTTATGAGGCGCACAGGTATTCGAGGCGCTCCATCAGCGTATTTGTTAATATTTCTCAATGAAATAATATCATACTAAAATGTAATATTCGTTTTTAATGACAGATTTGAATTGTTTCAATAAAAAAAGGTATAAAAATGGCTTTGATTTTACACGAATTAAACCTTTTCTTAACTTAGCAATAATCAAATATGTATGTATATTATTTGAATGTAAAGAAATTTACCTCACCCTGAAGTTCTTCTGGCGTGATGTCACATGGAATATCTGAGAGTATATTATCAGATTCTAAAATTTGTTGCAACTTAAGTTCAGTGGCCCGAACTAACCGTTCATGATCTCTCCTTTCAGCATCCAATTTAGGAATACGTTTTTTCTTACCCGGCTTCTTATCACCCGGCTTCAAATGACGCTGCTCACGTTGATATTGTCGCAACAAATTTATTGGCATTCTTTTTCTATTTCTTTTGCGGCGCATATTATATATAATAAGGCGTTACACCTATAATAGGAAATATGCTTACACAAATATAATATTTGTCTTAAGTATTAATGAATATATTTTGGAATATAAACAAACTAATGGGTAGTGATGGGTCGATAACTGTGCTAGTAAAAAATTAACGATTATTTATACCGGCTAATATCGACAATTCGATTTTTATCTCTTAAATCCCAGGGATCTTGTGTTATGTTTTTTGTACCATTTTGACTTAAGAATAAAAAAAAGTTAATTATCTTATGAAAGACAGTCGTTAATAGTAAATATGCTCTCACAACAGTCTATAAACTTTCGTCCAGTTCGTGAATATGAAATCACTACGCTACAGATTCGTTATTTACACTTATTAACAAAAAATTTTAACATCGAAAAAGTATTATATAAAAAATAATAAATAACTATTGAGCGTAGAGTGTTTGATATCTTCTAGTATCAAAAACTTTTGCGAAATCCAACGCGACTATGATAGTCCTCCCAAAGGGTGGTTTTTAATTTAGGCTTAAAGCTAAAGGCTATTGCTGTTTTAACGGTAGAAAACATTCCTTACGTAATTTGAAGGAATTGTACCGAATCCATTCCAGTTACTTAGACCCGACTGTAATGGGAACGGAAAGTATAAGTTCTTTTGTGGTACTCTACAATTTTCGGTTTACGAGACTCAAGTAGTGAAGATCGGGAGTAACAAGCCCTCAAGTGTCTTCACTACAGGGGGCAAAGAGAGTTATAGGATGGTAAGACTTCCCTAGGTTAGCAGGTTTCTTAGATTTAAGTTTGGGAAATAGTTTCCCGATTTTCCACACATCGCGTAGTACATATTAGTCACTTGAAAATCTTTTCTTTGGTATCCTAACGAATACGATATTATGAATGAATACAATTCGACCATTACCAAGCCCACAAAATTGTGATTTCCAGAAGAAAGAAATCCTCAATTTTTAATTGTTTTTTTCACCTTCTTCGTCTTCGTTTAACTCCAACAATTACAATTTTTTCATATGAATGATTTTACTTTTTATATTGAACTCAACAATCACGTTTGCTTCTTTTTAGCTCATTGACTACCTTATTTGATACAAAATAAAAACATAAAATTTCTTCTTGACATAGATAAATCGTATTATAATTTTCATTGAAGATAGTAATCGCCAAATTGCGCTTTTTATTTTTTATATATTGACATGAGCAATTGCGGTAAATACGTAGATCGCAATCCGAGTTTGCGGGCAGCAGGGAAATGTTTTGTCTCGAAAGAGAAGACAGAAGACGCGCTGAAAATATTCTCCACGGAAGAGGCAGCGGAAAATATATTGCTCACAAAATGCCGCCTCAATAACAAGAATGTAAGCAACGATGTTTTGCCCTTCCAGCGATATATACCTGAGGAAAACATAAAGGAATTACTTAGTCCTGAATTGAAAAAGAGTAGATTTGTTGTATTCCGCGAAAAATTTGCCGAAAATATGTATTTTAAGAAACCTGAACTCGGTAAAGTCTTTCCATTGGACTCAAAACCTCAAAATGTAACGAACGATAATACCACCTTTGGGGACTCTACAATACGATCCGAATCGTTATATGATCTCATATTACCGCGAAAGTCTCCAGATGAAGTGAACCGCGAATATGTTCGCTGGCATGAAAAGTATATTATCAGCCATGGTCATTACTTACCTTCAGAACAATTAAGTCGCCAGTAAGAAGCATTATACTATTTTCACACATCTGTTGAGACTCAAAAAATATATTTTAATTCTTAGTTATAAAAAACCGTTCGACAAGAATAACCACTTCGGGACGGTTTACGATGTGGACTTCAATGGAAAATATGTTAAGAGAGCAATTCAACAATGTGATAATCTTATTATCATCAGTAAGGCGCAAAAGCAATTCCTTGAAAGGACTTTGGGCCGTTTGGGACGCAGTATTTATAGGTAAAGGAAATAATATTTTAAATTGTAATTACACCCTTGACCGAAATTTTGAGCTCCAAACTGGAATATTAAGTATGTTTATAAACCACTCACTTAATAATACTATGCTATATACTCTTAGTTTTTAAATGGGAGTACTTTCAAAAACTATTTTGTGTCTCGGCCCGACATTTGTAGCTATTACCTACATAAGTGCCTACTAAAGCATAAAAGGTTAAAACTGTTGAACTAGTTATAGCTTGATGTAGTAACATCTAAAAGGAAGCGTCGGATGACGATGATGCTGCTCATTTGGCGAACCCACCAATATCGTACCACTATGGAAATATCTTCTATATGAACTGACCGATCAAAATAAAGATTTTGCATAACAAAATTTGTTATTTGACGAAATATTTTCACCAAATAGAATATTATCCAAGGCATCACTGATCTCCGAAGCCATTTTTCAGATCGGACATACAATCTGACCAATCCAACTCAAGTTATTGTATGGAAAACTTTTTTATTTGGGAAGATATCTTTATTGTCCGCGGCCATAGTACAATATCCGAACAAATTCTTCAAATCAGAGCCACACAAACAGATCGATGTAAAAAATGCGCCTGTGAAGGGTATTATAACTGTCGATACTAATGGCGTTTCTTATTTTTCTTTTATTATTAGAGAAAATCGTTATATAACACCCGAAATGTCTTTCGGTGCACCCTCTGGCGCAGATGAATGTAATGTGAAAGCACTTATGGAAATACAAGATCAGTGTGAAGGAACGAGTCCTCTTATAACTGCATTGGGGCATTTAAATAAAGTGCGGCAGAAGCTATTCGAACGCCACAACTTTCACATGCAAGATTTAAAATTAGCTTTGGAGAATCATGACATTAAAAAAACAGGACTGTTAACATTGAAGGAAATATTTGAGATATTAAGGCGAGAGGGCGTTTATTGTAATTCGGAAAAGATAACTACAGCGCTACGTCATTTCAAATTGATTGAAAACGAGGGTCTACCAACAGAAGGTGTCAAATATGAAGAGCTATGGAAGCTCATACATGTACAATATCCAATACCAAAAACCGGAAATATCTCAAAAATGCCACCAAATATTTATAACAAAGAAACCACCTACCGGCTACTCTGTCAAGATCGGAACAAACCACCCGTTGAAGCCATACCATCGAAACCCTTCGATACGGAGAATGCAGAAGAGCCGACAACTGTCAAAGATGTTATATCTCCTGATATTCCAATGCATTTTGGGCTTGCCCCTAGTGATTTCGCTAAATTACGCCCCAAAGAGGAACTGCGACGTATTTTTAAACGTTTATTGGATGCAGAAAAGTTCGATATTACGTGGGAAACTGCGCAAAATAAATTAAAACGTTCAAACGAATTGATATCAGTGGATGAACTGCGACAGGCTATGAATAGTCATAAGGACTAATATTGTAAATTGGGAGGTGGAAATTGGAGTAATACAAAGTATTTAAATTTCATTTGAAAGCTATTGAACGACAATACTCTTTGATCTTTAAACGACTTTTGATTAATTAAAATTGCTTGTGTGTATGATTTAAAATACAAACATTTATGTATGTAAAAATTTGTGTGTAAGTAAACATTATAGCTCTTATCCTGATAAAGTTTAGAGAAAATAATTGTTTCAATATATTTCTGACATGTACAGTACCAGTTTTTTAACATAAAAAATCCACAATAGCTCTAAAGCCTATTTAAATTCAATGTCACACTAACTGTAACGATTATCCACGTTCTTTGGAACCATTGCGCGTTGATCGCACACTACGTTTGTCATAGTAGTTACGGTCCTCACGATTGCGATCTCGGCTGCGACTACGGCTACGACTGCGTTGGCGTCTGTTCTCACGATCTTTTCGTCGTTCTTCATCAGAGCGGCGAACATACTCTTTAGCACGTTCCTTTCGCTCACGTATTTGTTCTTTATCTTCCCGCTTTCTATCAGGTGACTTATCTCTTTGCCGTCTGTGCTCCAGTTGCCTGTCAGAATATCTATTATCGTTCCTACTCTTCTCTTCATCATTACGCTCATTTCGTTCCGATTTGTCCCGTTTATCTCTTTTTACTTTACTTGCTTTTCTATTATCTTCACCATCATTACGATTATGATTTCGTTGCATTTTATCCTGTTTATCATCATTTGCCCTTCTCGACTTTTTCTTTGACTTGGTCGAAGAATCTTTGGACTTTTTAGAACTGTTGTTACGGTTACGATTACGCCTATTATCGTCACTGCTGCTGCTACTGCCGCTACTGCTTTCATCATCGCTTGTACTGCTGTTGGAGTCTGATGAATTGTCAGAATCACTGCTACTATTATGTTCGCTAATTTTCTTGGCTTTATTTTTTCTTGAATGAGCCTTCCGCTTTACCTTCTCCCTCTTCGAATCCTTGCTGCTGCCTTTCATTTTATCAGTTTTTGCTTTGTTCCGCTTTTTCTTACGTTTTTCATCTTCTGAATCACTAGAGTCTGACGTATCACTAGTCGTGGAACTACTGTCTGATGAACTTGATGAGCTTGAAGAAGATGATGACGAACTTGAAGAGCTGCTTTCTTCTGGCTTAACTGCCAATATTTCAACATTGATAGCTGGCACTGATTTCGGTGCGTTTTTCAAAAATTGTCTTAATTCATCAGTTAAACCTCCCAAGCCAATCGATGTGAAAAAGTTGATAGCGAAGCGCGTATTCCTGGGATTGTCCTTAGGGAATAGACCAGCCAAACTTTCCGTTAAAACTTCGTCTTTCAGTTTAGTATTCAATTTCCCCAGTCCCATATATTCGGCTAACTCTTGGAAGAGAATTTTTATAAAAATACGGCTTGAGGAGGTCGTGTCATCTTCATTTAGTTTAATACACTCCAGCACATCCCAACCTATGGCATCAGTGAATAGTAAATGTGCAAAAAATTTACTTACATTCCGTAAGCGATTTGTATCTAAACGATGAGTTGTTTGGTATGTATCTTTGAATATCTCTTCAAATGGTTCAATATAGATTTTGTTAATGGCACAAAATCGTTGCGCTAGCAATCCATAAAATTTTTCGTACGTGCGCTGTTCTGCACAACAATCAAGGAACATGTGACAGAGCTCGATCTCTTGACCTGGTTTCAACTGCATCTTCATCAACTTATGAGCGCATTCCTCATAATCCAAACTCGAGTTTATTGTTAGATAAATTGTACGCCGTAAAGCAATTAGATTGGTTTCGGTGTTGTCAATGATGTCCCCAGCCGTTTTCTGGCCACCGTCTTCTCCTTCATTTTCTGAATCCGAGTCACCAGAGCCACTTTCAGAATCGCTGCCAGAGCCCGAACCACTGCCACTACCACTAGCATCACTTCCCAATATCTCTTTACAAAGACCTTTATACTTTTCTTCATTATTTTCATACTGATCATCGAATTTGAAAGCATCTAAATGGGAATATAAAGTTTAGTCTTACGCAAAATTACAAATGATTAAACTATTTTAATACACATCAACTCATTATTACTCACTTAAAACATCTTCAGGATTTGTGGCCTCATCTAACATTAGCAAATGTGTAAATTGATCATCTTCTTCCACCAGCTCAAGGGACTCAATAATTGACTGATGATCTTTAAAACCGTCTTTTCGTACCTGAAATACCACTTCAATCATATACTGTACGCGTTTATCCAATTTACCCTCGTGCAGTATATTCTTAAGCATTTCAAAAATGGCACCTATTCCTTTTGACGACACCTCAGTCAATTTCATGCCGCATTCTTTCAAAAAGGCAATAGCCACCTCCACTGAGTCGTCTGTAGGTGTTTCTACTAACAACGTTAGTATTTCCAATGCGAGAATTTCATGTGCCACACGCTGATTTACCAAATGGGCGACGAAACGAGACGAAGATAAACAAACCGCTTTATCATTTCGACGAAAGGCTCGTTTGAATTGTATCACCAAGCGCTTAAGTAATAATTCACCAATATTAGGAAATTTGGAATTTATTATAGAGACCAAAGCTGCATAGACGTGTGTGAATGTTGGTGATGCTGCTTGGGCTTGTATTATAGAACGACAAAGTAGACCACGACCTCGTACAATATTCTCCTTCAGGAGCTCACGCGTTATAATCGCTATGTTGTCTACATTCACTTTGTTAATATAACCATGAATAGATTTTTTTAGTGCTTCCCATGCTATACGCTGATACGCAGCTGAAGCTTTATCGGTTATTTCGGCTTGCATCATACGTAACTTAGCTGGTGGAATGTAAGCACCGCCAGTACGTGATGTTAACAGATCCACAGTTCGTCGCTGGCGATCAGTAATCTTTGCCTTTGGATCAGTAACCGTAGCATTGTCATTATTATCATTTTTATTTTCGTCTTTTTCTTTACGAGTGGGAGACAATTGATTACTTTTCGGCGAATTTTCAACACTAAGACTTTTTCCTCTCTCTCTTCTTTTTTTCTTCCGATCTTCATTTTCGCAGCGCTCACGTTCGGCATGACGTCGTTTACGTTCCTCTTGTCGTCTTTCTAGGGATACTGACCGACGGGAACGTTTACGGGAACGAGATCGTGAACGTTGTCTGGAAATAGAGCGGTTACGGGAACGATTGCGTCGAGAGGATTTTATTGGCTCTCGAGAACGAGATCTAGAGCGCCGACGAGATTTGTTTGCACTACGGGTTTCCTTTGTTTCCTGTATTTTATTATTCTCGTCAGATTTTTTAGCGGAAGTGGATTCCGATTTTTTTTCGGAAACTTGGTCCTGCAAAAAATAATTTTAATTATTTTAAAAACTTACAGAGTATAAGAAAATCAAACCTTGCTTTCGCTCAAGTCGATAGTGCTTTCCTCAGATTTATCACCAGTAGGGGTTGGTTCGATATTTCCATTCGACGCATTAAATCTTTCTGATTCTCTCTCCTTATCGTCTACTACTTGGGTATGTGTTTCATTATTAGTTATTTCACCTTCTTCAAGTTCTCCAGGGGCTTTATTTTCATTTGAATCATATTCAGCCGCAACAATGGAATCGCTTAACACTTTATTTCTGTCAGGGCATTCTGTGTTAGTTAACCTTACTTTATCATTTTCTTCTCCATTTTCGCAGCTCTTTACACTAACTTCCTCAGGCAAGTAATCTTCGTTTGGTGTTAAAGATTTTTTTTCTTCTAACAAGGGAACTGATGAAGATTTATAATCATTTCCATTCTCTGTAGTAGTATCATCTTTTTTAGCAGATGATTCTTTTTTGCTTAGAGCCGAATCAGCAGAAGACGATGTACTTGACGAACTTGAAGTTACACTTTCACTCTCACTGCTAGATGAGCTGCTATCGGTATCACTATCTGCCATCTTTTACGAAATGAAAATATTTCGCTCTAAATTCACGCCTTCAAATTGCTTTGAATTTTACAATTTTCCATGCAAAACAACTCTAGATGATCAAGATATATCGATTTAAACCGAATGCCGATATTATATCGATTACATTTTTTAATTATACGGAGGCCAGGTTATCACTATAACATAAGTCACGCCCAGAACTCATAGAGCGCAACAGACTTCAAGTGACATCTGTCAAATATTAAAATACACACGTTCTTAAGCACAGTGTTTTGTTTTGTTCTCAGTCCCCTCACGTTCTGATAATTTATTATCAGCGCTGTTGGATGGATTCTTCTTGGTGGGCGGGCGAAAATTCTTAGTAACGATCTTAGGAATGCCATTGATATATTTAATGGTTTTTGTTAAATCACCACCCTTTATTATGGCATCAAGTTCAGCTCTTAGGTTTTTGAGGTGTTGTTGTTGCGCTTGTGTTAAGTCAGACTTGAAGGTAATCTGAGGTCCTTCTGCTTCAGCTGTTGATTTCCATTTGAGAATAGTTAATGCATCATCTGGTGATGGTGTTTCAATGAGTAACGGCCGTGTACGGCCAGCTAACGGACGACCAAGTCGCCGTATTCTAAAATTCATTGTGTTGCTAGCGAGACTGGGTGGTAGTGCTGCGAGGACTTTTGTTCTATCTTCCTCCAAGCGATCTTGACCATCGACTTTTATTGATTCAGCCACATTCATGGCTATTACATTTGATTGGCGCTTTTTCCGTTCAGCCAGTTCAGCAATAATGTCCTCAGTGGATTCAGACAAA